CGCCCAGCAGCGCGGCAATCTGCAGGACGGTTGCGGGGAGGTTCGGAGGGTTGCAGGGAGGTTGCGGGAAGAGGACGACGTCGCGCGCAAGTGGGAGAGAGGGAGGGAGAGGGAGGGAGGGAGGGAGGGAGGGGGAGGAGGGGGGGGGGGGAGAGGGAGGGAGGGAGAGAGAGAGAGAGAGAGAGAGAGAGAGAGAGAGAGAGAGAGAGAGAGATGTGACTGGACATCATCTCTCCTGCAGCTCGCCCACGAAGGGGAGATATGGGGAGATATGGGGAGATATAGGGAGATATGGCCCTCCTGTAGCTCGCCCACGAAGGGGAGACATGGGGAGATATGGGGAGATATGGGGAGATATGGGGAGATATGGCCCTCCTGCAGCTCGCCCACGAAGGCCTCGAAGCCCTCCGAGCCGAAGATGATGGAGTAAAACATCGACGGGTCCATCATGCCTGTGGTGTAGGGAGAGGGGGCTTTCGGGCGCGCGCGTGCGCGCGCGGGCGGGGCGTCTCGCGTCTCGCGGCTTCGTAGTGGTGCCTTGCTGCGCGCCGTCGAGGCCCTCCTTGCCGCCCTCGTCGTACCGCGCGCGCGTTTCCTCGTTGGACAGCACCTGAAAAAAAGAAATGGCCGGCGCCACCGATCTCTGCTTTCGAGGCGCGCGCGTCCCCCCTCGTTGGGGATCGCCTGGTACGCCTCGCCATATCTCCCCATATCTCCCCATACCCCCCCCCCCCAGATATGGCACCTGGTACGCCTCGCCCAGCGTTTGCAACTTTTGCTCTCCTTCCATATCTCCCTCCATATCTCCCCATCTCTCCCCATATCTCCGAGGCACCTGGTACGCCTCGCCCAGCTTTTGGAACTTCTGCTGCGCCTCGGGGTCGTCCGGGTTCTTGTCGGGGTGCATGCGGCGGGCGAGCCTACCACACCACCCACGCGACTGAACCCACACTGGATTCGGTACTGTGGGGGCATGGTACTCGTCCGGGTTCTTGTCGGGAGGAGCATGCGGCGGATCAGCCTCAGGCTGGAGCGCTTGATGTATTATTCTACCATCATTTACAGCGAATAATCATGTTTGAGCAGTGCCATCCTTAGAAGCAGTTAATTAATTAATCAATCAATCAATTAATTCTACCAGTCTTGCCATCACCATTGCTATTCTCATCATTAGCGTGAGGTGGGAGCGCTAGGTGCACTCTTCGTCTGCCAGTCTTGCCGCATCTCGTCGTGAGCCTGAGGTAGGAGCGCTTGATCTCGGCCGCCTCGGCCTCGCGGTCCACCTCCAGGATCTCGTAGTATGCCAAATCCTGCGCCGCGTCGTCGTCCCCCGAGCTGTCGCCGCCCTCCTCCGCGCCCACCTTCTTCTTCTTCTTGCTCTTGTCGCCGGCAGCGGCGCCGGCCTCGCCGGCCTCGCCGCCGGCGTCGCCCCCTTCCTCGCCGCGCGCCGCCGCCGCCTCCCGTTCCCGCAGCTTGGCCGCGCGCCGCTCGACACGCTTCGCCTGCCGCGCCGCCGCCGCCGCGCGCCGGCGCGCCGCGACAAACTCCTTCATCTCCGCCTCCTCCTCGTCGAGCCTAATTCGCGTTAATTCGTGTTAATTCGTGTTAATTAGTCCAGCTTCCTCGTCGTCGAGCCTCTGCAGTCTCCTCTCAGCTCGGCACGGGCTCTCGCAATGCAAGATCATCTGACAATCACAGTACTATGCAGTCTCATCTCAGCTCGGCACGGGCTCTCGCAATGTAGTATAACAGTCCGCACCGCCTCTCGCAATACGACATCATCTCATCTCAGACAAGACACACCTCTCGAGCTCGTCCGGTAGGGAGTAGTGGATCCAGCTACAACATCATCTCATCTCAGACAAGACATGCCTCTCGAGCTCGTCCGGTAGGGAGTAGTGGATCCAGCTACAACATCATCTCATCTCAGACAAGACATACCTCTCGAGCTCGTCCGGTAGGGAGTAGTGGATCCAGCTACAACATCATCTCATCTCAGACAAGACATACCTCTCGAGCTCGTCCGGTAGGGAGTAGTGGATCCAGCTACAACATCATCTCATCTCAGACAAGACATACCTCTCGAGCTCGTCCGGTAGGGAGTAGTGGATCCAGCTACAACATCCTCTCATCTCAGACAAGACATACCTCTCGAGCTCGTCCGGTAGGGAGTAGTGGATCCAGCTACAACATCATCTCATCTCATACAAGACATACCTCTCGAGCTCGTCCGGTAGGGAGTAGTGGATCCAGCTACAACATCATCTCATCTCAGACAAGACATACCTCTCGAGCTCGTCCGGTAGGGAGTAGTGGATCCAGCTACAACATCATCTCATCTCAGACAAGACATACCTCTCGAGCTCGTCCGGTAGGGAGTAGTGGATCCAGCTACAACATCATCTCATCTCATACAAGACATGCCTCTCGAGCTCGTCCGGTAGGGAGTAGTGGATCCAGCTACAACATCATCTCATCTCAGACAAGACATACCTCTCGAGCTCGTCCGGTAGGGAGTAGTGGATCCAGCTACAACATCATCTCATCTCAGACAAGACATACCTCTCGAGCTCGTCCGGTAGGGAGTAGTGGATCCAGCTACAACATCATCTCATCTCATACAAGACATACCTCTCGAGCTCGTCCGGTAGGGAGTAGTGGATCCAGCTACAACATCATCTCATCTCAGACAAGACATACCTCTCGAGCTCGTCCGGTAGGGAGTAGTGGATCCAGCTACAACATCATCTCATCTCATACAAGACATACCTCTCGAGCTCGTCCGGTAGGGAGTAGTGGATCCAGCTACAACATCATCTCATCTCACACAAGACATACCTCTCGAGCTCGTCCGGTAGGGAGTAGTGGATCCAGCGCCGGTCTGAGGCGGACCACGTCTTCCCCTGCGACGCCTCGTAGATGGCCTTCGGCGTCTGCGCCGCGCCGCGTACCACCTGCGTCGCCCCCGCCAGCGCGCCGGCCACCGGCAGTGCAGCGGCCGCCGCGAGCCCGCCGACAGCGCCACCGAGAAAGCCTCGGACGCCGGACTTTTTGGCGCCGGCGTACGGCAGCGCAACCTGGCGGTGTCGGAGGGTCGGCGGCGTCGCGGGTCGGCGGCGAGGGGGCGGGCACCGCAGCCGCGGGTGAAACACGGCGCAAGCCAATGCAGACGCAAAACGAGCGGGGAGGTGGTGGTGGTGGTGGATATCCCTCTGAGGGGTGCGGCGCACTACAGGGGCGGGCCGAGGGGTGGCGCAGCCCCGGAGGGCAGCGCGGAGGAGAGAGGCGGAGCGCGGGCTGTGTCTGCGCTGCGTGGCAGCGGCACGGGCGGCCGCAGCGGTGCGTGCGCGCGCCAGCGAGACGGCCCCGGCGGCGATCCCGCCGGCGGCGAGGCCGAGGCCGTTGACCGTCGCGGTGCCGACGTGCTTTGGCTTTTGAAGGCCCATCGCAGCCATCATCTCGTTCATCTCGCGGTCCTCGAGCGTCTGCAGGGCGAGGCGATTGACGTCAGAGGAGTGCGAGGCGCCAACCGGCACGGGACATGGATCTCCAGACCAGAGAGGCGGTAGCGGAGGGGCGGCGTTTCACCTTGGCATCCTTCTTTGACAGCTTGCCGTCCTGCTCAGCGACAACGATGGCGCCTTCGCTGGCCTTCTCTTTCTTGGGCATCGGGCGAGCTGCGTCGGCGCGGCTTGCGCCCTCCTTGAGTGTACCCGGTACTCGTAGACATCGCACTCGAGGGTAGTGCCGACGGGACGCGGCTCGAAGGGCGTGGCTCCGCAGCGCGACTGGCACTCGTCGCAGAGGCCTCGCATTCGACAAGTCGGGAACGGCTCTACCCGCAACTTTATCGCTAACACGCGCGCACCGCCGAGCCTGCGGCGGGCGCGCTGCAGCCGCACGTCTACCTTCGTCATAGTGCCACGACGTGCGGCCTAGAATTAGCACACGTGCCTCTGTTCGCTAACACTCACACATTGAATTGTCACCGCCAGTGAGTGCGAGATAGGGCTGGCCGCTGGCGGCTAGCCCGTGAGGAGGGCGACCATAGACACCTCACTAACCCCACACACGGTCTCGTCCGTGCCTCGCCGGCCGGCGAGATTGCTAGAGGTGGAGCAAGCCTGCTCTAGCCTCGCATATTACCTCCTGTCGTCTGTTGTGATGTTGTGCCCTTGTTTGTTTCTCTTGGCACCTTGGAGTGCTGGGGGGGGCGACAGGAGGAATGTGGCCCTGAGTTACGTGTACGCCAACTCAGGGTGTGTGGCAGCCAGCTGGCTGTGTGTCTTGTGAGCTTGTTTGTGTCTGTGTGTCGCTCGTGCGTGTCGTCATCATCTGTCTTGCGTCCACCCATACCGCGTTGGTGTCCAGTCCGAGCCTGACTGTTCTTCACTTTCCTACATACATACATAGACATCAAAGAATTCTACGAACACAATGTGTGATTGTGTTACGAACACAAGCCCCTCTCACAGCAGACTGGCACGAACTAGCACCACAAAAGGCACAGCATCAAAGAATTCATGCGAGATGTTCTATTTCAAACTTCTACGTGCCGGATGGAGTCCGGCCGCGGGTGACTAGGGAAGTTCGCTCAGGATGTGTGGCAGTCAGTTTGGCTGAGTGTCTTGTCTTGTGGTTCTGTGTGTCGCTCCTGTGTGACCGTCATCGCCCGTCTAGCGTCCACCCATACCGCGTTGGTGTCCCAGTCGTTGGTCGGACTGTGTTTCGCCTTCCCATCAATCAATCACTTCTAGCTGACACGCGCGCCCCGTCGAGCCTACGGCGGGCGCGCTGCGGTCGCACGCCTACCCAAGTCATATGCCACGGCGTGCGATCTAGATTCAGCACACGCGCCTCTGCTCCTTGGCCCCCTTTTTAAGAATTCCCGAAGAAGGGAAAAACGCACGACAGGGAAGCGAGGCGCGGGCGACGGCTTCCTTATTTTGTAATTTTAGAACAAAACTCCATATCACGACACTCCCTTTTTAAGAATTCTTAATACAAGCCTCTCTCACAGCACGCTGGCACGACAAGGGCGCGGACTGGCGCGGACTGGCACACACACCGGCTCACCACCGGAGCCGCCTAAGCGACTCCGTTAAGAACGGCAATGCACGCCGCACCGTGCACAATCAATGCCGCTCTCCCCGCTTACCCCGCACCCGCGCACGCCGCCCTCCCGGTGGCAAATAATAGCCCAAGTCGTAGAGTGCGCGGCCGCCCCCCACCTTCGGTATCTGGGCGGCAGGCGGGACTAAAGAGGCACGCTGGTGCACGGATGGGGGCGCGAGCCGCCATCTTGGACTGTGAGGCGAGTATTTGCAACCGGGAGCTCGCCGCCGCCCCTACACCGCCGCCGCCGCCCTCCCGGTGGCAAATAATAGCCCAAGTCGAAGAGTGCGCCCACCACCTTCGGTATCTGGGCGGCAGGCGGGACTAGAGTGGCACGCTGGTGCACGGATGGGGGCGCGAGCCGCCATCTTGGACTGTGAGGCGAGTATTTGCAACCGGGAGCTCGCCGCCGCCCCTACACCGCCGCCGCCGCCCTCCCGGTGGCAAATAATAGCCCAAGTCGAAGAGTGCGCCCCGCCCTCGGTATCTGGGCGGCAGGCGGGGCTAGAGTGGCACGCTGGTGCACGGATGGGGGCGCGAGCCGCCATCTTGGACTGTGAGGCGAGTATTTGCAACCGGGAGCTCGCCGCCGCCCCTACACCGCCGCGGCCGCCCTCCCGGTGGCAAATAATAGCCCAAGTCGAAGAGTGCGCCCCGCCCTCGGTATCTGGGCGGCAGGCGGGGCTAGAGTGGCACGCTGGTGCGCGGATGGGGGCGCGAGCCGCCATCTTGGACTGTGAGGCGAGTATTTGCAACCGGGAGCTCGCCGCCGCCCCTACACCGCCGCCGCCGCCCTCCCGATGCGTCGAGAGTCGACTCTCGACTGCTGAGAGAGTTCATCCCACCATCAGCACCGTATTCGCCCACAGCATGCCATGAGATTCATATAGGTCTAGTGTACACATCAGCTCAGCGAGACCAATATCTCCAGCCTCCTTCATCTTGGCTGCTGCTTGGGAGCCAACACCTGTGCAAGTGAGTGTCAGAGTGTCGGAACTCGGTGGGAGCATCCGTCATCAGCACGTTCACACGACTCTTCACACTCGCTCGAGAAAGTGAAATTTCGTTTCACATGAAACGTGAAGTGAAAGTGAAAGTGAAACCGATTCGCTGTTTCCATGTGAAATCACGAACCCTGGTTTTTCGACGACCACACGCGATGTGGTATCTGCTTTTTGCTAAAAACAGGCCGCCTAGTGCAGCATCACTAGTACAACACGCAACCACACTGAGAGCTCCACACTAGCCGGTATAGGCGAGAACCGACGGCGTCACGGTCGCCGGAGTGGACGCACTGCACACACACTGTGACCGTGTCGACGGTGTGACACTGAGCGACACAATCGTCGGCGCCGCGCTGTCGCGGCGCCCCGCAGTCTACACGCCTCAGGCGCACCCCTGAACGCGCCATGGGCGCGCAGATACACCGCAGCGCCGTGGAGAATCCACACCTGGCCGGTCCCAAGCCCCGTCCTGGGCCTCCAGACGGCCGAAGATCGGCGTTCGGGCGGGATGAACTTGTCGGAAATGGAGCTTGGCGCGGCTCGCCGCTCGCGGTACCTGGTGAGCCGGGATAGGGCAAAATCTGGGGTGAATACGAGGGACAGAGGTCGCAAGTTAGTCGCGCAAGTTTGCGCGGCGTGTGGCGCTGCCCCGCTGCCGAGGGCGCCACCAACCCGTGGCGGCGGCATTTCCAGCCCAAATTGGGCGTTCCGTGCGCCTTGCCGGCGAGAACGGAGGGGCTGTGGATCGTTGGTGGGGTGAGTGGGAGGGAGGTGGTCGTGTGCTCACTTTGGCGGTCGCGCGCGAGGTGATCACTGTGTGTGAGGCGCGCGGGAGGCGAGGGTGGGCGCGCCGGCGGTCGATCCACCGAACAATTCGACGCGGCGCAGCTCCGCGCCGGCGAGTGCGACGAGCACATGATGTCGGCGGCGGTCACGCGACGAGGGAGAGCCGCAGGATCCCTCTGTGGAGCAGGCGCACGAAAGCGGCGATGAGCGGCGCCGCGAACAGCCACCTGTGGGCGGTCACCGGGGTGACGTCACGCCTCAGCGAGCTGGATCCGGGAAGGGCATGGGGTCACGCGGGCCCTGTCTGCAGCAGCAGTGCTAACTGAAACGACAAAATTCCGGATGGACCGGAGAGTGTCTACTCTCTTTCGACGCACCGTGCTCGGGCCCAACGAAAAGCTGGCTGGTGGTCGCGCGCGGCGCGTCGGCGCCCTCTCCAACTGGTTGGGCACCTCGGCTGGGTCCATCGGCACGAGGCCCGCCGCGTCGGGTAGCCCCGCGAGCGCATGGGCGGCCGGCGCGAGCGGAGGACGATGGGCCGAGATCCGCAGCTTGTGCCAAAGGGGGGGGTGGAGCCTCGGTACCCTAGACGCGGTGCGGCGGCGCACCGCTGGATCGCCGCGACAAAGTGTAGCCGAGGCGGGGCGGGAAGCGCCCGAGCCGGCCGTTGGGGCGGCGCCGACGCCGCCCAGGATGCCGTGGGCCGATGGTGCGGAGGAGCGGCCGCTCCCCCTCTCGGGGCGGCCGCAAAACCTGTGCAGCAGCAGCACGCCGAGAACGCGCCTGCTGGGGGTGAGTCGCAAAATGTGAGATTGCGGGCCCCGCCGCGATTACTTTCTCCCTCCAAAGTGCATGTGCCTTGGGAAGGGGGTGCAAGCACACCTCCGCTACTCGGAAGATAGGGTCGTCTGACTCGATCGCGAGCGAGCGCGGGTAGACGGCGGCGTGCGCAAAGCGACGGCTCGCGCGCGACCGCGGGCTTGCGCGTCGGCCGTGCGCGGGCAGAGGGCGCGGAGGGGCGAGCGGTGGCGGTCGCTCGCCCGGGCAACCCGCGCGCGGGCGGCGCGCCGCAGCGGGGAGCGCCCAGGGGCGCGGCGCGTGCTGGCTGCGAGCGGGCGCTTGACATCGCTTTTGAGGAGAGATAGCCCAAAAATATACCGCCGGATAAAGCACACAGTGAAAAAGTGGGCGGCGGCGGCTACATGCACACGCACATGCACATGCACATGCACATGTACATGCACATGTCCCGAGCAGCAGAAAGTCGCGCCGCACACGACAGTGGAGATCAAAAAGAGGAGTAATTTGGCATAAAACTTAAAAGAAAGAAGATGAATTCTTGCACGACAAGGGCGCGGACTGGCGCGGACTGGTGCACACACCCACGTAAAAAGAAACCAAGTTGCGAAACTTGACGTGGCAAATCGGCCCCCAAGGGCTGACCCGCCGGGCCAACACATTCCTCCTATGTCGGACGAGGAGAAGACGGACGACGAGAGCGAGGAGAGCGGAATGGTGAGCGGCGGCCACGCCGATCGCGTCGCCGACCGCCTGTCCAAACAGAACGCCATGGCCTCAAGAAGTTTCACGATTGTCGCGTGGTACTACAAGGGTTAGGTATGAGAAATATGAGAGATGTTTGAAATATGAAAACCGAACGAAGGAATTCGCGCAAGTAGGATTCCTACTCGCGCCTCGGCAAATCTGATAATAAGTTCGGACAAGAGGAAGGATGCGTCATGGCACGTCCGGGCGGGGCACCTGAATCTTCTGACATCTGAGCCCAACCCACGATTGTCGCGGCGATTGAAGCTCCTGCTCTCACATCACCGAGACTGCTCGGGACGACACCCCTGCACAGCACATGCATGGACGGGGATGGCCGCCAGCCGTCAGACAACTCGCGCTCTTCTGCTGAATCATCCACTATTGACCGGATCGAGGACATCGAGAGATCGATGGAACAGCTCGCTATGACCAGAGAGCACTCTTCGGCCAGGGGACGACTACCACCGAGGACCGACAGTTTGCGACTCTTGGCTGGAAGGGGTGCCTCCCCTAATTTGCGCGTCCATGCCGGGCGCCGAGCTGCTGCTGCTGCTGCACTGCCGAGCCGCCCAGTGGCCCGCCTGAGCGACACTTCCTCCTCCAGCTCAAGGCACTCCACCTCAGACTCCGAGCGTTACTCTGGCCGCGATGTCCCCGCGAGGCCCCGCGAAGTGTCGACCGCTGACCGCGAGGTGTCAACGCCTGAGCAGCGCTGCGTGGTGTACATCTCTGACGACTCCGGGGTCCTTGCCGACGATAGCAGCGGCGTGACGCAAGGGTCGCCGCCCTCTACGCCTACCTCGTCCTCGCTCGAGTCGCCTTTCCCTTCTCCTAAGAAGGATTCGGCTGACAGTCCCAGCCGCGCAGGCTATGAGCCGACCGCTCTGGCCGCTGCGGCATCTGCGCAGGGCGCCGGCAGGCACGCGAGCAGGTCGTAGCGTGTAATTTGTGTGATTCCGAGTCTGATTACGTGTGGCGTGTAGCGTTGCGTGTGTGGCCGCGGTACGGCTTTACGTGTGGGGCTGCATGTGGAGACGTGGAGAGAGAAGTACTGGTATCTCAAGTCCAGCGGGCCGATTCTACACCGGTCCGCACCGCGCACACCCTCACGATTCGTCTGCGACTCACACACGTCAATCTCCGGACACACACCGCTCACCCACGCGCACCGGGCCTTGCACTTTGAATGCCGTGGGGCTCCTGTCGTCAGACGTGGAGACGCGAGGGTTGCCCCCCCTTGCCCCACACCACCTCGTGTGTGTGGAGAAGTTTTACCTTACCTAGACCTTACCCAGCAGCACACACACACACGACGAATAGAGACCAATTGAATAACACGCAGCACCATGCGCATGTGGAGGCTCACCTCGCGGGCCTCCCCGAGCTCCGCCGCTGCCACAAATCTCCCCGACGAGCGTACCGAGCCTCGCATACCGTCCGGTTTCTGGCGGGGGACCTCCCACTCAGTAGACGCCGGGGCCGTCGTAGCAGACGTCGTACCTAGAGCGAAAGGAGCCGCCGAGAGGTCGGCGAGAGGTCGGCGAGAGGCGGTTGCGCCGTCACAGACAGTGGGATGTGAGGGAGCTAGCGGGGGAGGGCGGGGGGGGGGCGGGGGGCGCGGCACTTCATCGACGGCTTGGAGGGGTGCGTCAGCGTCTTGCAGTCGCCGGGCGACATCGATACGTCCGGGCCCACCTCGCACGAGGTCTCCGCCTGGAGAGGGGCGAGAGAGGGGCGAGGGGGCGGAGGGCGAGAGAGGCGGGTGGGCGAGGGAGGGCGAGGGAGGGCGAGGGAGGGCGAGGGGGTGGCGAGAGAGGCGGGTGGGAGAGGCGGCTTGGGCGGGGCACTGCGCGCCTCGCCACAAGCGCCCCACCCCATGTGCATCTTGTCGTAGCTCGCGAGCAGCACCTGCACTCGAGGTCATCTCGGGTCCATCTCGAGGTCATCTCGGGTCCATCTCGAGGTCATCTCGGGTCCATCTCGAGGTCATCTCGGGTCCATCTCGAGGTCACCTCGGGTCCATCTCGAGGTCATCTCGGGTCCATCTCGGCTCGCATCTCGGCGCATCTCGGCGGCGGGGTGGCAACGCCTTCATCACGCGCAAGTACGGCACCGTGTACCTGCGAACATACGCCGACACGTGAAAACAGTCCCCTTTTGCCTGTCGCCCTTTTCTTGCGCCAAGGCACACCAGCATACCCGGCCCGGCCGGGCAAGGCCCTCCCCCGTTCATCCGCCTTGCCATTGCCGTGTGAGGGCGGGAGTACGGGATAGTGCAGTGGTGTGCTGAGAGCACCGCGTGAAGACACCGGATTGGAATACGCGGCGAATACAGCCGAATGCGGTGGAGTACAGCCGAATGCAATTTCCTCTCGAGCGCTGGCTGGGAGACAAGAACGCGCGTCCTTCTTCTTAGGGCCGTGTATTACCCCTCGTGCAGCGGACAGCCGCGCAGCTTGAGGAAGCCGACCTGTTCACAGCCAGAGGTGTGAAGAGGCGCTGTTCACAGCAGCCGCGCAGCCTCAGGAAGCCAACCTGGCGGAGTGTCTTGTGCGGTGTGGTGTGTGTGTGCCGCTGTGGCGTGGCCTTCATCTCCTGTCCTGCGTCCGCCCCTACCGCCCCGGTGTCGAGTCTGCAGGCCGTGTGTCAAACTAATGCTGTTGTGCTGCGGGACTCTCTATGATTTGCTATGCTGTGCTGTGCTATCGCAGCGCACGTCGTTGTGCAGCGTGTCGCCCCCCATCTCGAGGCTCAGGTGGCAGGTGCCTGCGTTAGTTAATTAATCAATGAAGGATCGTCAATTAATTAATTAATCTCGAGGCTCAGGTGGCAGGTGCCTGCGGACATGTCTCGGACTTGTCGTGGACGTGTCCTGGAGAGGCCGCGGCGTGGTGCAGGTCAGCGGTGCGCCATCGACGCACCACTGGAAGGTCTTGGCGTCGCCTGACGGGACATGTCAGGGACGTGTCGTGGACATGCCTAGCCAGCGTCGCGCCACGGGAAGGCGTCGGCGTCGCCCTTGGCCGAGTTGATGTAGAAGGGCTTGATGAGCTGCTTGCCGCCCTCGCCGCAGCCCGTGTTGGAGGGTGTCACCGACAGCTTGACGTGGTCGCGCAGGTGCGGGTCAAAGTAGAACGGGTTCGCCTTGAACGCAGGAAAGGACTAGTGTGGTCCGGCCCACAAGTCCGGCTCATGCTCAACGGGTTCGCCTTGAAGCCCTCGTTGAGGTCGGAGCCGATGCCCGTAGGTATCTGCTCAAGGGCACCGCCGAGCGACGGGATCGGCGTCACGCCAGCGTGCGACGTGTCGGACTTTTGCTGCGCCGGAGCGGCCGAGCGCGAGACGGCCGCGCCGAGGAGCGCGCCGGCGCAGAGGGTCAGGCCAAAGCCGACGAAGCGCTTCGCGCCGCCCTGCGCCGGCTGCTGTGCGGTGGTGAGAGGGAGGGAGTCCATGGTTTCGGCGCCGCGTTGTGACCAAAGGAGGTGTAGACACACAGCCCTCGCCTCGGCGCCGCGTTTAGGAGGTGATTCTTTTTTAACTTCTTTTTCAACAGATCCGATATTCGCTCCGATGGTTGCCTGTGTCACATGTGCATGTGCATGTGCAAGCACGCGCCAGTCCGCACATGTTTCGTTGTTGTCGCACCTGTGTCAAGCCTGTCTGCCGTGAGAGACAGGAGTATTCGTTTACTTCTTCTTTCTGTCGAGTTTCTTTCTCAAGTTCTGTAGGGTTTCTTTTACCTCTGGCCTGGGCTGAGGCGCCCAACTCCCACCGCCGAGCAGGCGCGCGAGGCGTACGGCGACGCGAACGTCAAGGCGTACAAGTCGGTCTTCAAGCCGATGTTGGCGCCCGAGAGTCTCGAAGCACTTGGCGTCCCGCGGACGGTGAACCCAGGAGCTCGGCCAGGACGGTGAACCCAGGAGCTCGCGGCTTGCCCCCCGCCCCCGGCCGCCCAGACGTGCCATCGGACAGCCGTAGGGTGCTCGCATGACGACGTTGGCGCCCGCGACGACCGCCTCCCTCCCGTATGTGGCAATGTGGCCTCCGGAGTGCCTTGCCGTTCTTAACGGAGTCGCTTAGCCGGTGTGTCGCCCCCCTCCTCTGCGTTAATGAAATTGGAAATAAGCGAGGTCAAACTTTGGACCCCCCTCCGTGGTGGATTGCCCGTTGGGATCGGCCGCACCGCCACCGGAGGCAACCCCGGCTCCGATGGAGACAAGTTCGCCTTCGGCAACACCGAAGAGCGCGCCCGCCTTGCAAACATGGGCTGCAAGCAACGCGGGTTCTGTGGTCAACGGGCGGTCGACCACACCACCGGCCAAGGCTACGTCAACTACAGCGTGGCCACTACCATGAGGGGATCTTCCAGAAAGGAAGAATTCAACATGTTCTCCGCATAATAAAAAGAATTATCGCGTGTTTTTCTTCTTTTACCTCTGTCGTTGCCGCCTTCGCAGGCGCGCCAACGACGAGTGAAAGGGCGCGATGTTTGGAGGTCGCGGTAGAGGCGGCGGGCGAGGTGGGCGTCAGGGCAACGGCATGTGGAAGAGCGGCGGCGGCGGCAAGGGCGGCGGCGGCAAGGGTGGCGGAAGCTACCGGTACGACCAGCGGGGCGGCGGTGGCAAGGGCTTCAGCGGCGGTGGCAAAGGCTTCGGCGGCGGAGGGGAGGGCGGCAAGGGCGGCGGCAAGGGCGGCGGCAAGGGCGGCGGCAAGGGTGGCGGCGGCAAGGGCGGCGGCCGCCGCTGGAGCGACAAGCCGTACGACCCTCGCACGCCGAGCGAGAAGAACGCCGAGGTAGCACTCTCCCGCCAACGTCCCGCCCGGCTAGCCGCCGCCACGCCCGCGCGGCGCGGGTCGCCTCCCACCCCGCGGCGCCCGCGGCCCGCAGGTCGACCGCGTCGACGCG